AAATTTCATGCTGATTTTATTGTTGGCCCATTTTCAATAAAATTTGACTAAAATTTCACCAGAATTTCGTTCATTGGCATGTAAAAAATCAAATTTGACTAATATTTTATCTGAATTTTGTTCGTTGGCACGTTTCCAATAAAATTTGACTAAGATTTCACATGAGTTCGCTTCATTGACACATTTCGAATATAATTTGACTAAAATTTCTTACGGGTTATTACGTCGGCACGTTTCCAATCAAATTTGACTAGAATTTCCCACGAGTTTTGTTCATTGGCCCAATTCATATAAAATTTGACTAAAATTTCACATAAGTTTCATTCATTGGCATTTATCAAATCAAATTTGACTGAAATTTCACATGAGTTATGTTCAATGGCGCGTTTCCAAACAAATTTGACAAAAATTTCCCTTAAATTTATTTCACTGACGCGATTCCAATAAAATATGGCTTAAATTTCACCATGGTTTCGTTCATTGGCATGTATCAAATCAAATTTGACTAAAATTTCGTCTGAATTTTGTACATGGGTGCGTTTCCATTCAAATTTTACTAAAATTTCACATGAGTTTGGTCAAATGGCAAATTTCGAATCAAATTTGACCAAAATTTCTTGAGGGTTTTTATGTCGGCGAATTTCCAATCAAATTTGACTAAAATTTCAGATGAATTTTGTTCATTAATGCAGTCACAATCAAATTTGACTAAAATTTCACCTAGTTTTCGTTCATTGGAGTGTATTAAATCAAATTTCACTAAAATTTCACATAGGTTTGCTTCATTGGTGCATTTCCAATGACATTTGACTAAAATTTCATGTAAGTTTGGTTCATTGGCACATTTTGAATCAATTTTGACAAAAATTTCAAGCTGATTCTTTCGTTGGCTATTTTCTTATAAAATTTGACAAAAATTTTACCATGGTTTTGCTTGTTGGCGTGTATCAATTCAAATTTGACAAAATTTTCATCTGAATTTTGTACGTTGGTGCGTTTACAATCAAATTTACTAAAATTTCATGGGAGTTTGGTTCATTGACGCATTTCGAAACAAATTTGACTAAAATTTCTGGCAAGTTTTTCGTTGGTGCGTTTCCAATCAAATTTGACTAAAATTTCATCTAGATTTTGCTTCTTGGAAAGTTTTCAATCAAACTAGACTAAAATCTAACACAAATTTCGTTCATTGACACATTTCAAATCAAATTTAGCTAAAATTTCATGCGAGATTTTTTGTTGGCGCATTTCCAATCAAATTTGACTAAAATTTCACATGCGTTTTGTTCATTGACGCGATTACAATCAAATTTAACTAAAATTTCACCTGAGTTTTATTCTTTGGCGTGTATCAAATCATATTTGACTAAAATTTCATCTGAATTTTGTTCATTGGCGCGTTTCCAATCAAATTTGACTAAAATTTCATGGGTTTGGTTCATTGGCCCGTTTCCAAACAAATTTTCTTAAAATTTCACATGAATTTGGTTCATTCGCACATTTCAAATCAAATTTGACCAAAATTTAAATCGAGTTTTTTCATTAGCGCGTTTCATATAAAATTTGACTAAAATTTCACCTGGGTTTCGTTCATTGGCATGAATGGAATCAAATTTGACTAACATTTCACATGAGTTTTGTACATTAGCATGTTTACAATAAATTTAGCTAAAATTTCACCTAGGATTCGTTCATTGGCATGCACCTAATCAAATTTGACTAAAATTACATCAG